GACGAAGTCGTGATTGTCCTGCGCACCCTACTAACTAAATATAAATAACCACAGTATAAATAATAGTACTAACTTAATTAAACGTACACACATTAGTCACTCATATTTGTATTTCGATACAGGGTATTTTTCAAAGAGTAGTTACATTTTAAACTTAAGTTCAATTAATATAAATAATGATATACCGTTATTGCAGGTTTTGAAAATACGAGTAAATGAGGCTTCTACTTACTGTTATTTGAAATTATCCTAAATTAAATGTGATTAATGGGCAACAACATTTTTGCCTACCTATCGACCCTTACGAATGTGTGCGTGTGCAGTAAAATCAGTTAAAATAATACTTTACCACCCGTTTTGAATGTAAAAAATATAAAGGACAGAATGTTAGTTTTTTCTGCCGACTTCCAAAAAGGAGACGGTATTCAATTCGACTGTATGTTTTTTTTATGTGTGTTACCTCATAACTTTGTACTGGGTGAACCGGTTTCGATAATTCTTTTTTTATATGAAAGCTGATAGTTCTCGTGTGGTCCCATATGAATTTGATCAAGGTCAGACTAATGGTTATTGACTTATTCTTAAATAACTTATATTGAAATCGCTTATATTGAAGTCGGCTGTACAAAATTGTTAAATTTAAATTATTTTTAATATAAATATGTAGGTATAAATATGTAAGTATTATTTATATATAAAAATATAAAATGAAATAAAATATATAATAACTCGGTTTATTATTATTATTTTATAAGTACGCTACGAATTCTTAAATAATCTGTCACTTTGAAAATAAACTTTTGTATTTTTTGTTATTTGAAATTACCCGGTGGGGCCACTACGAATTTCTCATGTATTTGGGGGGCGTTTTCCATACATCAATTGCAAGGGGACAAACATCCTAGATCCGAAAATTTATTTGTAGGTCTTACAAATAGTTGTTCCTCAAAAAAATCGATCCGAAACAACGCAACCAAATGCTCAGCCACTGTGCTTTAATTAGATCTGTTTCTAAAGCTACCTACCAATAGTACCCCTCAAAAAAAGAAAAAAATTAATACGAATGTTTTGTTGCCCATAGAACTACTATGCCATTTAATTTTATAATCTAACTAGCTGGCCAGGCAGACGTTGTTCTGCCCTTTTCGACGACCCTTCCTATAAAAAATCCTTAAATTAGCAATAAAAAAATATTGAAGGTCACTTATCAGGATAAAAAGTATCCTATCTCTCAAGTTGGATCAAACTGCACACAGTGTGCGAAATTTCATTGAAATCAGTTCTGTAGTTCAGGAGTTCATCGCGGACAAACAATGTGACACGTAATTTTTATATATAAAGATAATAATTTTTAAAATCAACTCTGTATCGCAACGACAAATTTGATTATAAATGTTTATAATTAAAAATTTTATAATATATAATATGACTATATTTATTTTTATGGGCAGCTTAAATGTAAAGATTCGTAGACATTTTTTATACGTCCGCTTAGCGTGAAATAAACAATGGAAATGAGCTTATGAGAGTATTGACTGCGTCAGTAGACATCATACCATGAATAGTATACCCCGAAGCGATGTTAGAGGAAACAAAGAAACGGTGGAGTGCGATGTGGTGCCAGTCGGAGACACGAGTATCGGCGCATTGTCATGCAGGGCACGTGGCCAGCGACGCCGACCCCGCCGCCGCCTCCAAGGTCGCCAATATCTCGGTATCTTCAACTTAAATCACTACTGAAGCCCGTTACAGGTGCTTTTTTTTGAATATCGTTGATTTTGAAGCACCGGTAAACGCAGTTTGAATTACATACTTTCGGTACGAATACATGAAAGCAATCAGAGCCAAGTAAAGCAGAGAACCAATTATTACATGTAAAAGTGTTGGCACTTTCTGTTATTCACTGTGAGCAATCGAATAACTTAACTAAAGATTGTTTTTTAATTTAGTATGAACTTCCTAGATTAGTTTTTTCTATTTTAGTTTCTATTTTAAGAACATTAATGTTCTAATTATTATTTAAACGATTTATTTACATCACAAACCTGCATGTCGGAAGCTTTACACTGCATATATACGTACTAGCTGGCACGGGAGGCGTTGTTTTGCCCTTAACTGTATTCCACTCCGAACTTTTTACAGATTAAAAATATTAAATCTATTAATAACTTGGTAAAACACCTCCACCTATCGGATTCAGATTTTCTGTTTTGTCACGAATCCAACAAAATGTGGGTAAATGGGTCATTTGGGCTTATAAATTTAGAAATATTTTTCCCATGTTGGTATGGGACTTATAGGCATCTTGTTTATGTGGTGACTTATAACGAAAAAGACGCACCTACTATTATATAGAAAAAGATAAAATGCTTTGTAGTATCGTAATGTCGTTCACACGAGTAAAATAGTAAACCTTTTAAAATTCCAAATGCAAAAGTAATGAACGAGTTTTTTATGTCATTATGTTGAATTTCACTGGAGTAAATAACATAAACGTTGTACCCACACAATGATTCGGTCTGTTATAATCACGTTAATATCTGTTGCGTAACACGTTAACGCGTTTCAGAATTGTACGATTGAGTTATCATGATCAAATGCATTAACAATTAACAATGGGGGTAGGGATAACCTTGCGTTCATTTGTGATAAAATTATATAATGGAGAAGACAAACCAAGGTAAATCCTTATATGGTCTATTACATTTAAAGGTGTGAAAATAGTCGTAACTTGCACACACAAGGGCACTTGCAAAGGGTAGGGAAAAGTATAAAAATACACAATTTCTTTAATCATTTTAAAATAATAAACAAAGACTAGAAGACTTAGAGATTTTTTAGACACAAAAATTAAGGAATATGGCGGCGGTATTCTTTTATAAAATTAAAGTGACAAAAACCTTACTCTCCACCGTGAAGTCAGTCAACAATATTTCAAGAGGGCTACAGATGCGTTTTCACCTCTGAGGACTATAAGAGGGAATCCCTCGCATAGTCTGTAATTATACAGTAGTGCAAGGACTGCTTTTTGGTGGCAGAAATAGTTAAGAGGGTGGTACTAGGATGATCGCCACCAGATGAACTCCTAGACAGAAGTCCAAGACAAGAGTCCCCGGGTGGAAGCAAATAAAGACGCGCTATACGAAATACTGATGCTTTTATTATCAGTGCACATTCGTACCTACTTCTGACGCCAAGCGGACCAGCGAACTCACTACCGTGCTACAGTTAGAAAGATAGGAGGTAGAAGTAAAATTACCAGCTGTAGGGTATTTCACCGGAATCACAGAGGTGATCCTTTCTTTGGAGTTGATTTCAGGTGTCCATGCGCTGCGGAAGCTACTCACCGTCAGGTTCACTGTGGGTCCGTGTCACCATAATATTATACAAAAAAAAACAGAAATGCAGTACATAGTTTTCAAATGTTATTTAGAATTTATTTTAAATTTAGAACTGTAATGTATATTTATATAGTATATAAATACTCGTATATCCGCGGCTTTCCTCGCCTCGCGTAGACTTCCTTTACCAATATTTTTAATGTTATCATCATTCGCACAACTGGGCACTATATTTATTATTATCTATGCAGAGCACTTTTAGGAACATCTTGTTATCTGTCCGAGTATCTCTGTTGTGTTTGTCATGTTTTTCCAGAGAAAGTTTTCACAATAAGGCGATAAAAATGCAGTTTCCCAAGGACGAACATAAAGTTTCAAATTTAAAAGATTAAATTGGGAAACAAAATTGAAAGCTAAAATTTTTTTAATATAATCGTGAGGATCAAAAAAATTAAGGCATCATTGCAAAAACATAAATAAAAATTAATTTTTTGAAAAAACAAAAATGCTTTAAAATTCCGTTTTCGTATCTCTAAAGTCGCCAATACAGATAATAACGTATGCTTGAAGAAATCTTATCAGATTTACATTGTCTTTTTTACTCTTTGTAATATGTACTGGAACTAATCAGTATTTATTAGTATTGCTTCATTTTAATCACTTCTTTTTATTTATTTTTATAAAATGATTTGGAATTTCATGGGTTTTGTTTAACTCATGGCATAATGTTTACTAGCGATTATTATTGACTCTTGATTTTTAATCCTAAAATACTGGCGATATTTGATCCATTGATATTGATTCATACCATAATACACATGGATTTTATTTTTTCACGTGAAGCGGCTCGTATAAGTGACTTTTCAATATTTAACGAATGTTCTCATATTTAAATAAAAGTAAACTTGCCTTTGTGTAAAAGTTTTGCATTTTTTTTGCAAACATTTTTGCAGCTAGAATATGGGTGACAAACGAGCCCACAGTCCACCTGATGGTAAGTGATGTGGCCCATAAACTATCTATCTTCCTATTAAGAATCAAAATGCAGATGCATTGTCACCCTAGAGGACTAAGATACTGAGACTGATGAGGCATTCTATTATTCTATCGTAGTTCCAGTAGTAAGGGTCTCCGGTTCTCTACAATCTATGTTGAGTATAGAGAACCGGCAAACAAAACAGATAGCTGCTATATTACTCTGGTATTTTCTGGTTTTCCCCCGGTCGATCTGTCTATTTCGAGACACCACGTATAATTTTTTTTTTATTACAAAAGTATACATTTTTAGAGTTATCTCGCTACTCGCTTATTAACAAAATAAAGATTCTATTATATTGATTCTATATAATATTTATTATCCTATTTTTTATTATAAAAAAAATGAATGCGGTAAAAAAAATTCTATTTGTAGAGTTTGTTATAACTTTAAACAAATGTCCATTTTTGAACTTCACAATCAAATGAACATCAGTCAACTTTTTGATATGACAAGTATAAGAAGCAACCACGGGTTTATATAAAAAATATTAACAAGCTGTAATATATAATGTACCCTTTTAATTTTATTTGCATTCGATTTTTGAATCTAGGATTGAAAAGCTGTCCCCTTATAAATCTTACAATTGGCCCATAATATATTTCATCAATTTTTTTTTGCAGATGTATTTAGCGCAATATGGTTACTTAAATCCATCAGTACGGAACCCCTCCAGCGGCCATATAATGGATGAAGCATCGTGGCACCGTGCCATCTCCGAATTCCAAAGTTTCGCTGGCCTCAATATAACAGGTATATATTTTTTAATTATTTTTGTGCAGCTTTATACAAATGTAAAAAAATATAGTTACAGCCTATATACGTACTCGTAACACTAGGTGCAAACCTCCTCTCTTTTTGGCTAACTTAATATATTTTATTTCTCAGACATGCGGATCCCTCCCGATGTTTTCCTTCTCCGCCGAGTACTTGTTAAATTAGCACTTGAATTAGAAATTAAATATATTAAATTATAATATGTTCTCCTAATAGTATTTAATTAATTGGGGTAATAGTTTATTATTGTCAAATACATCAGTGTCCTGGTTTCGCCTTCTCGTGTCAAAACCGGCTTAATCATACGACTTGGAAATTAAAGACATGACTGGGTCAATATTTTTTGTGGGCATAGGAGGACACAGGACTAATTGTGTGCATATTTACAGATTGACGCCGTTTGTAGAGACATAAAATCGTGTTGTAAAAGTTGACTATGGTGAATGCCAGGAAGGTGTTATGACTACCGATAGATGATATAAGTCATCTCAGAAATACCAGGTTAAAAATTCACAACCTTCTTACTATGTGTACCATCAAGGCCCGGATTTCTCATGTTCAAGAAATTTAAGCGCTTCTTTCATCACTGTATGCATATTTGTCCAGCGACATATGACGGACAAAAAGTTACTTTATTTGATAAGTTTTAAAAATAAAGGACCTAAATAAGAATTAAGCTGATAAAGAATCTAATTCAATAACATGCCTTTTAAAATGGATATGACTTAAAAAACGAGAACTCAAACGTCAAAGTATTTTCCCGGCGATTAAATTATAATTTGTTTATCTAGATTAATATAAAGTAATTTAAAATACATTCGATTAAAAATTTAATTAAACTTGGATAAATTATACTTTGTACAAGAATTCACATTTCATATATGTAAGTGCATATGTTTTTTTCTACACGGCAGTCTGAAAATCATCATCATTATCATCATCATTACAGCCCTTCACAAGTCCACTGCTGAACATAGGCCTCCCCCAAAGAATGCCACAAAGCACGGTCCTGAGCCACCTGCATCCATCGACTTCCTGCATATCTTACCAGGTCGTCACTCCATCTCGTGGGGGGAAATATATATATATATATATATATATATATATATATATATATATATATCAGTCTGAAAATACACATGTAGAATTATACGAGTACACGAGACGTATACATGCTCCCTATTGAAATATATGACATGAGACCATCTAATTATAAGGTACCAAGTCGACTTATTTATAACAAATTTAAAGACATAAAGACGTAAAGACATTTATTCCGACACTTCAGATTACAATCACAAATTAATAAACAAAATTAATACGAATAAGTATTAAAAAAATAAAAACACAAGAAAATGAATAAACAAAAAAAATATGAGGATATAATAATATTATATAAAAAATTTGAACTAAGTTTGGTATTGTGATCGTGAATGCGGCTGCTAAGCGTGAAAATTAAGGTGAATCCTCCTTACAAAGAGAGAGGCTCACGTCGAGCCTCTCACGATACCCGCGGGGCGATACGTATAAGAAGATATCTTGAGTTACTCTATATATTATATACATTGGTAAGGTTGGTGTCCACCTCAATTTGTTTGTAAGTCATTTTCTTATACGAATTTAAAATTAGCTTGAATTTATCTTATGAGGAAATTATTTCAAGACCATGTTATTTATAGGAGTTAACAACGTTTATGGTACTGCTGTCAATTACAATGTACAATTTCGGTCTGTTCATGTCTTATTGTGTCTCAGCAATATAGCTTTGACATTTTTATAAAAGATTTTTGTATTAGGCCCTGCCCACTTATTTTTTATTGTAAAATACGAATGTTCCAATTTTACCTTTTACATTTTTACAATTTTATTTGAAATTAACCTCAATGTTCCACATTAAAACATCTTTGGGCGATGATTTTTTTCGATATCAAATGTCGCCTAAAGCTATACGAATCGTTTGTGTGACATTATTTATGAAATCTCTTAATGCCCTTAAAAGCTAAGGCATTAAAAGAGAACTGGCTGCTCTTCACAACATCTTCTCGTGAGCGGGACAGTTTCGCATTGGATGCCACACAACCTTAACGATACTCAGAAACATACGCACGTGAAATGGTGACACAATTTGATTACTAGATTTGAAAGCAGGATCGTTTCGGCGTATTTACGAAAATTCATAAACTTCGGATTTATCAATACGATCCAGAAACAAAGCCCCAGTCGCTGGCTATTTCGAAATGTACCTACGCCTACCAAAGTGCAATAATCTGGAAGCACAGGAAATGTTTTAATCGCTAGATTTTCACTTTGATGAGGGATGTGGTGTCAATTCCTTTATAAAATCGGAGGAGCATCAATGTAGAACGGTGTACTTCCAAATTCAATCAGAATTGTTAACTCGTGAAAGCAACAAGCAACCACGGAGCGCTTAATATGAAGGACTTCACCGACTTTCTAAGCTTTGGAAAAACGTGTCTGAGGCGAACTGGAAAAAGTGTTTCGAAAATTGGTTCAAACGCATGAAACTTCGATTTGAAAACTTACTAAGTGATGCACGTATATACTATATGACTTTTAATAGTGCATCATTAAACCTTTTTTAAATTACACTAGTAAAATTTTTGAAATATCAAGCTTCAAAGTAACTCCGAATTTAATGTTTCACGATATCTTTTACTTTTGAATGATACAATTAACTAAAAATCAGAGTATTTGTTTTCTTCATCGTTTTGACTATAACTAAATAGGGAACACATGCTGTACATATGTAGCATTACAACTAGGTTAATTTAGACTTGTAATGAAATGTAATGATAATGATACACATACATACATATAATCACGCCTCTTTCCCGTAGGGGTAGGCAGATACCACTTCTTTCCACTTGCTACGGTCCTTACATACTTGTTTCGCTTCGTCCACTTTCATTTTTCCCTTCATACATGCTCTTCGGTTTAGGGTACTCTTGACCTGGCCTTTTTTCAAGACGTCCCTGATTTTTTCTAGAAACGTCCGCCTAGATCTACCCCTTTCAACACTTTCAATCACACTCGCCTTTTACACTTTTTCATCATTCTTCATTCATTCTCTTGACATGGCCAAATCATCTCAGCATACCTTTCTCAATTTTTGTCACTACAACTTCTTTCAGACCACAACGTTTCCTTATCTCACTATTTCTTATTCTGTCACTCAGTTTAACTCCTATCATATTTATTAACGCTCTCATCTCAACTGAGTGTACATGAGTGTCGCAACCAACACCCCCTCATGCACAGCTAAACGAGGCTTGTTAGACACCTTCCGACTGCTCATAAAGGAGTGCAATGCTCCATTCACCATGTTTCCTGCATTCACTCTTCTTTCAATATCACTCTCACACTTTCCATGATGATGATGATGACGACAATGAAGAATTGTACTGCATGATGGATCAGTTTTGTACTTTTTTACTATGTCCTGCAATAATTCGGGTTGAGCTTGAAATTCGCATTCATACGTGTCTGGATAAGGAATGTAGTTTTTTGTATTCCACTATCTGCCGAGAGCAGTGCTATTATGTAAGCAAATAACACAGTAATGTGGGCCAAGTATACATAATTCATGGTTGGACAATGCACAGGTTGTTTTAAGGAGTCCATTAAAATGGCAAGTTTCACTGTATGAATAGTGAATTAAATAGCATACATGTCCAATGAGTCACATACTCGTAATGTGTAAAGGCAATATAGGAATATGCTTACAGTTACAGTTACACGAGTTCCCTGTTCCGTCATTCACTCGTACCAAATATTATTAAAGAGGAAAAAAATTACTTGTATTTTTCCGTTGGCCGAATCATAAATTAAATGTACGTGGGTATTTTGTATAAATAGATCTTTATACAAGTTAACTTAGTTTATTATTAATTCGAACAGTGTGTGACTGTCATATATGTAATTGAATTTTAATTATTTCTGGCGAAGTTAACATTAATTCCGGGTTAACGTATGATTATCCACCGATTTACTTTGAATGTATAATTATTTCCGCGACAGCAGAACCACCTAATGAAGTTCTATCTATCAAGTATTAACTGTGTTTATGATCTATTACGACATGAGATATTTACTTTATGCACTCGTTGAGATTAAAATGAGTAAACAATATACTGCGTGATTCCACACTTAACGATAGAAAAAATATCATGTACATGTGTAGATATATAGTAATTGAATAATGATTTACAGGTGAATTGGATGACGAAACAGCAAAACTCATGTCTTTACCGCGATGTGGTGTTCGAGATAAGATTGGGTTTGGGGAAAGTCGTGCCAAAAGATACGTGTTGCAAGGTTAGTATAATATTTAAGAGGATTATTATTATTATTTTTAAGATTACAATATAGCTCACAAAAGGCTCAAGCCTTGGATAAAAGCTGTAAAAGCCAAAAGACTAACAACACTAACACTTAATAAAGAAACGATAGTTCGGAGAAAACCAGTGCTGTGTTTGTTTGTTGTGTTTGTTAAAGATGATTTTTTATAGGATAAGGGTGATTGGTGTTATTGTTTTATGGTTTAAATTTTTTCTTAATTTTTCCCATTCCTCCATTTATTATAGACAATCAAAAATACGTTGCTGAATATAGGCTTCCTCATAGATTGCCTCATATGCCTCATTGCCTCAGGGGGATTGGTGACCACGGTTTTTGTTACTTTGAGTTGTTATCAGGAAGTTGTTGCATTCCATCTCCTATTTTGGAGCCACACTACCGTTCATAATTCCGATTCCTGCAGGAGCCCTACCTAGGCTACTTATATTTTAGAAAAAGAGTTAGGGTGCCGCGCAACATAATTAAAAACCTGTGGTATACGCGGGCGAAGTCGCGGGGAACAGCTAGTTATTAATATATATAGGTAAAATAATATTTTTTTAATGTGCCGATACGGTTACTGTCATTGTATGGAACAAGTGACTAGAGAGTACCTTAAGAGGGACTACATCACATAACTCGTAACGTTAATACGAACGTGTGAAGGAATTGCATATGCTTGTAAAAATTTTATACGTATACTAGCTGTTCTCCGCGACTTCGCCCGCGCGTTATTTGGGGTTTTAATTTTTTTTGCGCGGAACACTAATTATTTTTCTAAAATTAAAGTACCCTAAGTTACTCCTTGTGAGATTAGATATCGGCCACTGAAAATCCCGTCAAAATCAGTCCAACCGTTTCGGAGATTAGCCGGAACAAACAGACAGACAAACAGACAAAAACTTTAAAAATTGTATTTTTGTTATTAGTGCCATATATAATTTCATATCTATTTAGTAAAAAGCTGTAATTTTGACATTACAAACAGACACTTCAATTTTATTTATTTGTATAGATTATTCGCTTCAACAAACAACTCATGCATGTTACATCAATTAACATTACTCGGTACAGTCGAGTCGTAAAAAGGTTAGCTTTTTACGACTCGACTGTACCGAGATTTTAGTACAGTGAACTGATAAAAAGATAATAACAAACAACACAGAAGAGTTAAAGAATGTTGTTTTTGTTTATTAATAGATTTAAAACGTTAGTTCTCACTCCTTTTTATAATAGTTTATTTTTCACATATCCTATTTCAGGTTCCAGATGGCGTGTGAAGAACCTTACGTACATGATTTCAAAGTATCCGTCACGTCTGAACCACGCCGAAGTTGACATCGAGTTAGCCAAAGCTTTCTCTGTGTGGTCAGACTACACTGATCTTACGTTTACGCAGAAGCGTACCGGTCCGGTGCATATCGAAATTAGGTAGGTCCTTTAAAGAAACATCGATAATATGCTTATCGATATTTAAACATATTTTCAATCAAGTTCTCGGTTTAAAAATCACTAAATAATAATTTAAATCTGTACATATTAATATTATTTTATGTTTTTAGTGATGAATGTATTAAAATGTTATAAGTACTTATATCAATAAAATTGTTCCATCGTGTTTAGCAATCTGTGCCATTTTTTCATAATAATCTACCAAAAGGTTGATTTCATAACAACTCCACGTTGTTGCAATGGTAATCTGCGTTGCGTAACAGAATAATAATGGTTATCATTAACTAACTACGCCTAACTAAATGTTTCACCTAGAAAAATATTCTATAATAAAATAATATGTATACGCAAAATCTTATATACCTAAACTTTATGTATGGGAATGTGTAAGGGGAATATAATTTTTTATTATATTTTAATGGATTTGTATAAAATCATCCTCCAGACCGAATTTCGGTCACGACAGTCTCAACCGACTAGCCACCTGCGTAGGGCAGGATTATAATGCTTTCCGAGGCACACGTGGACTAGAATAGAAGAAAACGAAAAAAAAATCATTTCGCCAGTTTTAGGAGCCTTCAAAAACACCGCCAATTTAATTACTCCGGGCTGCTACTGAGACTTTCTTGACAGAAAAAGCCAATAACTGATTTTGAACCGATCCAGGATTCGAATAGGGATTCCTCGTGAACAGCAATTGCGTTTATGACTGCTAGAGCAACGAGGCAGTCAATCATAATAGAGTTCTGGTATCTGTAGTTAATTTTTCTTTTGATTTATGCTGAGATAATAAAATATTTTAAGCTATTATTTGGGATTGTTTAAGCCAGAGATAGGAATAAATAAAATAAAATAATCACTATATTATTTCATCATCATCATTACAACCTTTCACAAGTCCACTGTTGAACATAGATCTCCCCCAAGGAATGCCATAAAGCATTACACATAATTAAATGTAGCTGCAAATATCTATTGACGGAATGTCACGTTGCAATAATAAATTAATGGCACCGTGGATTATTAGCACGCGATTGAAGGCCTGACAGACTGTGTGGATGCTGACGTTACACGTTACGTTTATGTTATAAGATAAACATATCTTGTTGCATTTGTGGTTTTGTTACATAGTTCATATTTTAATAGGTTATATCCTCCTTATTTCATTGAACTTCCCGATTTCAGCATGGCATCTGCCGTTACTTACCAGGAGCTGAGGAAAGGAATCATTCGTCCCCTAACTTATAGTTGTATATACTATATGTATTGTAATAATGCATAAAACAATTTAATTTTACTGATTTTTGATTCTCGATATTTTGTGTGCTTTATAGTATTCATGGTTATGGCGGAACCTTTTTAATTAGTAACGTCCAAAAATGAAGCTTAAATTAGTAATAAAAATGAAAATAATAGAAAGAACTTGAGTATCATTGGTTAGGTCAAGTCAGGATATTAAATGAACATAATAATTATTAGGAATTAATAATTTATTTGAATTGTATTAATTATTTTAAGAGCATTAACATTTTATTCATCTGACATCGTGATTATAATAAAAAAAGGTTTTTTTGATTATTCTTTCTTGTGCTAACAGATTCGAAAAGGGAGAACATGGAGATGGAGACCCATTTGACGGACCTGGTGGAACTCTTGCTCATGCGTACTTCCCTGTGAGTAATATTAAAAAAAAATATTATTAGATCTTACTTTATATTTTGTAAAGTGATTGTCGCAGAATTCGACTAAACAGCGCGAAGTTAGACATATTATGGTCTAACTTCGTGTTAGACTTACAACTAAATAACAACGGACTGAAAAACGGCGCTTAAACCTGATTCGATGTTTATTTTTCATTTGATAAACGTTATTATTAAAAATAATGATTCTTCTTGTTAATAATTTTATGTAAATTGTTTCTTTGAATCATATAAAAAGAAAAATAAATTAAAAAACTTATTTGATATAGTGTATACACGAAGCCTAATTGATTTTAATCTAAACCACAGCTGTTACTAGATTATAAGTACCTAATCCACGTCACTAATGTTAAGTTCTTGTTGAGGTCTGTATTTAACGGATATTATCATCCTTAATAATGAATCATCATCGTTGAAATTTAAATAAGTAATCAATTGCGTTATTTTTGGAAATAAATTAAAAATGTAACAATTAATTCTTAGAAGCATTCCCAATATCCCCTCAATTTGAATACTTGGCGAAATAAACATTTAATGGCGGAAATAGCGAATTTTCGATTTTGAGCGGAAAGCGTTAGATTTCTTTTATGATAAATATGATTGTATTCTTTGTAGACGTAATATAGTAATAATATGTTTTGTGGTCGGGTGGTCAAAGCAAACGAAATAAAATATGAATGGACACGTTTGAAATGGAAAACGAGAAATGCGGACATGATTGCTTAGTTCAATTTTAGTAACAGATTGTTATCAATCAAATTAAGTTACCACAGTAGTCGTGACACTTTCACGTTTTGCAACCTATGATAAAATTGTTTGTAAATACACTTTTGCACTTGACTATTTAATTTTTCGTTTGTTTATTAACGAATGGACTAATTGTAATTTACAATGAAAATGTGGTTTTAATCAGGTTTATGGCGGCGACGCTCACTTCGACGATGCTGAAGTATGGTCCATTAATTCACGGCGCGGAACCAACCTCTTCCAGGTACGTACATAAATTAATGAACAGTTACGATAATTGCACATAATATAATATGAAGGGTTTAACCGTGTGATACATGATTATAATAACGACAGGTGAGTTATCCAATTGAACACACTTAAGAAAATATAATTTATACTCGATATACAAAAAAATATATAAAAATATTCCCCGAAAAGATATATAACATTCAAAATCAAATACTTTACTATTTAATAAAACACTAGTTACTATTAATGCAATTTAAAATATTAGTTTTAAACAAGCAAGGGTGACGAACTAGCACACAGTCCACATAAGGGTAACATCTATCATCGACTAAGAATCGAAATACAGATGCGTTGTCATCCCTGAGGACTAAAATGGAATGCCTCGTTACGTATAAAAAGGATCTCAGAATCTCAACGACTCGGTAGTATTATGCTACTATTTAACGCTGGTATTGTGTGAAAACCTGGACCCTCATTGGTTGAGCTGTCCCATTCTAATTATATTGCATTCAGCTATAAGGCAGTCTCGGCATGGCGCTACTACGTACAAAATTAATCAAACTAATTTAACATATAAGGGTTGGGCCATTTAAGATTTCGAATTTGAATCGGTTATAAAAAAAAAACGATTAAATATTTTTTCAAAGTTATGAGTTTATTAGAAAGATTGAACCTATCCCTTTAGAAATGGAAGATAACATCATTCAAATGACTGCCACTGCTAGCTTTACAAAATACCCCATTTGATCAGTCTAATTTTTCAGTACATTTTCGATTGTTTTGGCCTCTATTTCGTCAATGGCAACTTCGATTTCATTTTTCGTCGTCAATTGTAACACTTGTCCTTAGCGGCTCCCCACAAAGAAAAGTCCAACGGAGTAAAATCGCAGCTTCGAGATGGCCAATTGACATCAGCATTTCGGCTGATTATGCGATTTTCGAAAACAGTGCGCTGGCACGTTGCGCCGTCCGTCCTGTTGAAATCAAATGTCGTCTATGTTATCTTCTTCAATTGTGGGAAACAAAAAATCGCTTAGCATGGGTGCTACAGACAGCAGATACGATAATTTTGCTTGTTGACGTATCCTCCGAGGTGGAAATGAGTTTCATCTGAAAAGATGATTTTTTGGTAGAAATGCTCATCTTCGATCAAGCGGTCGTTGGTCCAATGATCAAACCGAAAACTACCTAATTGAACTTTGTACGAATTCATAACGATATCTTTGAGTGCGTGAAATGTTTCAATACTTGAGAATGATGACGAGTTGATGTTGATGGTTGTTCACGCACACTCTGAGCAACAGCAGCGATGTTTTCGCTTGAGCGCACTGGACGAGTGGACGTAAGGTGCTTTGGGGTCATTACGAAAATGGGGGAATTCCGATATTTACAAATTACGGCTTAACTAGGCAATTTTTTTTGCTCTGGTAACTTTATTCTAGACGAAATTTTATTTGTCTCATTTGTTTTCAATAGTGCGCGTGCAAAGTTAACTTTCCGGTGGAAACAGCATTTTTCAACTCTTTTCGGTATTTCGGAATTACCCCGCGTTCATTATCTTAGGAATTTGCTAAGTAATCTTAATGATTGTTTGATTCTATTATAGGTAATCGTTTTTAAAGCTTTATTTTATAGGTTAGGATTAGCCAGCTAGTGTTTTTGTGGTTTTTTTTTCGGAAATACCCCACAGGGTTAATTACGAATTAATGGACTATCGAACTACTTCTCCATTGTAGTTTCCAGTGGCTGTCAATCTTTCGTCAGCATAAATTGTTATTTTGGATAAGTTTAACACGTTCGCGAATTTAACCAACGGCAGCTGGCAAGGCGTACCTACCGCAATGCCAAATATTTAGACATAGTCCAGAAGGAATAGGTGCATGAGTACCGAAAACTATTCCACATCAATTTTTTTATGCGATTCCCTTCAAATTGTCGTACTGATGATATAAATGCATGTTGCCATGAGGAAAATGTTTAAACTTGAATTGTTATTTTCAAACGGGACTATTATTTTATATTCTTTGATAAAATACGAATAATAAAGTCCCGTGACGTTTTACGATAAAGTTAATTTCTTCTATGAATTGTTGAAGAGCAAAATATAGTTAAATTAGAAACACAAAGTATGTATCAATGCTTTTTGTAGAGCCTAGAGAGTATAGACGAACAAAAAGTTAATCTAAGCTTTCTGTCGAAAGTCAAAAAGGAACACTACCAAATTTTCGGTTTTACCCCGAAATTAATCGGAATTATACCTTATCCAGAAGAAAAATATGTCAAATTTTTAATGATGGTATTTACGCAACGCAAAGACATTTTAATAAGATGAATAACAAAATAATTAGGATATGTATTTCAATAAATAAAAGTGACATGAGTTTGTTGTAAGCTTAGATAGATTTAAAAAAAATTATTTAATATGCATCATATCAACTAATCAGAAAATATGTCGAATTTACCACAAAGCATCTTACACGGGTTTTTTTTATCCAACAACGATCCAGTTTCATGAACTCTCTTCACAAATTGATCCACAAATTGCATTTTTGGCACATGCTTTTTTGTCAAATTTTTTTCATAAATTTCTTACAGTTTGAGTAGAAGCACTTTGGAAATAAGTTTTTACTATTTCCCAACTTTGTTCAAGCGAAAAGCGACCCATTTCATAAATGTCATAAATATAAATAACATAAAACTAACTTTCTGTCACATCGAAAATATCATCAAACCTTCCAACCTCAAAATAACCTATAGTTCCAATTCCAAACGTTAGATGGCCCAGCCTGTATAGCGATTATGGTATTGAATTTAAGAATACTTTTTATAATGAATATGTGTAATATTTATAATTTCTAATTCTTGCTTCACACAGGTTGCAGCCCACGAATTTGGTCACTCGCTAGGGTTATCTCATAGTGACATCCGTTCTGCACTCATGGCTCCCTTCTACCGAGGTTACGACCCAGCCTTCCAGCTCGACCAAGATGACGTGCAAGGAATTCAGGTTTGTATTAGTGGGCTAGTTTTATATCTCTGTAAGTACATTAATTTCATAGAAAACTAAAGTTACAATCTATATACTTACGTCCTTCTAATGGGCACAGGCCTTCTCTCATTTTTGAGAAGGCTTTCGTATATTTTAGAGCGTTAAAATACTTTTTATTAATTTTCCTAAAAACCTAAGATAACACTATCTAAATAAATTATCTATATAATAAGAGGATAATATCGGAGAAATGCTACGTAATAGCGGCATAAGATCTCTACTATCGTCCCGTGAGTGTCCTAAGAGGCAACCGAGTAAAATAAAAAGGCAGATAGGCAGCAACACACCTAAAAAAAACTTTGGTTGTTTATCTGCCTACAATGCGTAGCAATTATTGTAAAATATTATGAGGCAATAAAATTAAAATAAATGAGGCAAAGAGAAGCCTATGTTCAGCGGTGGACTTTTGTTAGGTGTAGAATTAATGATGCATATCCAAAAAGAAAGGTATGTCGGTGTTGTTCGATTTGTCACACTTCACATAAGTGTCGGTTTTTAATATTACGACATACTTTCATATAAAGGTCATTACGACATACTTTCTTGTCACGTGTACTTCCATAACTTGAAAACAAGAGTGATAATAAAACACGTGTAGTAAGCTGACACGAGACTTGGTCCTTTGCTGCTGGTATGCGTATATAGTCGTTAGCTATGCTCAGTTTCTTTGTGTGATAGACTTTATAATGAGGATATCCTCAGTAGAACCAGAGTAAACGACCCAAATAACCACTAAGCTATCGATCGCACAGTATGGAGTGGCCCTCCACTAGATGGAGTGACGACCTGTTAAGAGATGCAGGAAGTCAATGGATGTATGTGACTCGGGACCTTGCTTTGTGGCATTCCTTGGAGGAGGTCTACGTTCAGAAATTGACTTGTGATGGGATACAATGATGGTGATGATGATACACATTATCAATATATTTGAACAAGCCAATTATTTCCACGATAATCCTGTAACAGGTGCGCCAAGCTCTGCTGTAGCTTGATCAAAATATACTTTAATACGAATCGGGTCGTCCCTAGTAGCGATTTAAGTACAAAACATATTTAAAGTGTTGGTTCGTATTTGTTTTAAGGCCTTATACGGACACAAGACCCAACTGGATATCGGCGGCATTCCTTCAGCGCCTCGCGCCACTACGCCGACGACGTCAGCCGAAGATCCAGCCCTGTGCGCAGACCCGACCATTGACACCATCTTTAACTCTGCTGACGGTGCAACATTTGTTTTTAAAGGTTAGTTATCTATGTAATATACAAATTTTTGAATTACCCGACATAAGTTAGGAGGCCCCCGGCGCCAATCTGATGCTACAAGTTTCTACAAGACGCAGAATTTTTGTGATATTCTAATTAGTCCTAGATGACTATGAATATTTTGTTGTTAAATTGTTATTAGAAAAGGTATTTTTTTAGGCGAGCACTACTGGCGGCTCACAGAGACTGGCGTGGCGGCGGGCTATCCTCGGCTGATTTCGCGCGCCTGGCCCGGCTTGCCCGGTAACATCGATGCCGCCTTCACATACAAGAACGGGAAAACATACTTCTTCAAGGGTTCCAAATATTGGAGATATAAGGGACAAAACATCGACGGCGACTATCCGAAGGAAATAAGTGAAGGTACCGTCCCTTGTTAATTACATACTTCTATTATATCTATACTCGTACTTAATATAATAAAGCGGAAGAGTTTTTTTGTTTGTTTAAACGCGCTAATCTATGGAACTATCAGTCCGATTTGAAAAATTCTTTTTGTATTTTATAGCCAGATTCATGTGGAATAGTATAGGCTATCTAGCATTAAGCTATATTACTCAGTTAGCCTTAAATATGGATATTTGTTAAGCAAGTCAGAAGAAAAAGCACTTCCGAAATGATTTATCCGCGTACGCTGGTGTTATCGTTAGGGATACGTAAATACAATGTTCAAAAAAAATATAGACCTTTACTTCGTCTAAAAAATAGTCCGCGATACCATATGTCTATTTCTTATACATAAGCCATAATTTGGTATTTTGTGACAAAAAATTATTGAAAATTTAAAAGTGATTTATGAGCGTTATTATTAGGCATGGCCTATTTATCCTCACGAACGAAAGTTACTTCATCATCAAGACCTAGTTCAAGCATTTTATAACAAGTATTGAATTATTTTAATTTGACATTATCTCTTAAACTATGCGTCCAAATAACATGGTATAAAGAACAAAGTTTATCTTTATAAAATTGTCTTGATGATGAAATAACTTTCGTTCGTAAGTATATTAGTAGTATAGTTGTAGCACGAATGGATCGGCTTGACCAGGGAAGGACCACGCTCTCACAGAATACCAGCGTAAAATAGCAGCTTAACGCTGCTGTGTTTCGTATGGTGAGTGTAGAGAACCGGAGACCCTTTTTACTGGAAAAGAGGCTACATCTTAGTCCTCAGGGGTGACAACTCATCCTATTAAAAAAAATGTCTAATAATAACGCTTATAAATCACTTTTTAAATTTTCAATATTTTTTGTCACAAAATACCTAATTATGGCTTATGTATAAGAAATAGACATATGGTATCGCACTTTTTTTTTAGACGGAGTAAAAATCTATATTTTTTTAGAACATTGTATTTACGTATCCCTAACCATAATACCAGCGTACGCGGATAAATAATCTCGGGAGCGTTTTTTCTTCTGACTTGCTACACAAAATCTCGTTGTCTGTCAGTATCATTTACAGTGTTAATATAAAATTTAATACAATAAAATTAATATACCAAACAAAATTATAGTGTAGTTAAGTCGACCACAGCACTACCATCCAGGTCCAGATTTTGTATTTTACGTTTATGGCAATATATTGTGAATATGAGTCATTGAACCATTATTTTGAGAAAACGCATATATTGTGTGAACATGGCTTCAAACCCATCAAGTCCTTCAGAAATTGCACGATTTCTAACGGACTTATCAACAAGTTAATATGTATATAAAGAAGATTGAGTAATAAATTGTCATCAACACGATGCTTAGTTATTCTTTGTAAAATAGCTAAAATGATATTCGCCTCCATTTCAGGGTTTACTGGTATACCAGACAACATAGACGCGGCGTTGGTTTGGTCAGGCAACGGTAAAATTTACTTCTACAAGGGTTCCAAATTCTGGCGGTTCGATCCATCTCAACGCCCTCCGGTCAAATCCACATACCCCAAGCCGCTTTCTAACTGGGAGGGCATTCCGGATAACATCGACGCAGCTCTGCAATACACGAACGGGTACACGTACTTCTTCAAGGGATCCTCATATTGGAGATTTAACGACAGAACTTTCAGCGTAAGTTATGACTTTTATTAGATTCTTGTCTTCATTTCTTTTTTTTTAATAGAATAAGTGACTGTAAGTGGATGCTGTGGCCCATAGACATCTACATTTATCCCCAATTAAGAATCAAAATGCAGATGCGTCGTCACACCTTAGGACTAAGATGGAATGCCTATTTTCCAGTAAAAAGCGTCTGCGGTTCTCTACACTCACCATTACAAAACACAGCAGTATTAAGCTGCTATTGTACACTGGTATTCTGTGAGAGCGTGCGTGGTCCATCCTGGGTGGAGCCGACCCATTCGTGTTACAAGCATTATATATGTGCAGCATGGGTCTATGACGTAACAAGGGTTGAATGTGCAGGTGGACACGGACAAGACGGCGTTCCCGCGCTCGACGGCGTACTGGTGGCTGGGCTGCAGCGGCGCGCCGCGCGGCACCGTCGGAGGTAACGCGCGCCTGTCCGCCACATACACGCCGCCGCCCGCCGACGACGACGACGTCGGCGACATTATCTTCGACGCAGGTAGCTTCATCGACGCCCAGACGCACGATAGCTCTTGATTGAAAACAATAACTTATAATGCCTATTTAGTACAAAAATAATCGGTTGAAGGATGCCAAAAGACACCTACTATTTGCATTTAATATAGTGTATTCAATTAAATTTAAAAACTATTTAATGTACGTGAGGATAAAATGGTCACCTTAAGCATTGCTGCCCTATAAAACCAAAACTAGAAGAAGGACAGTGACAAAAACACAAAATCGTATACTATAACAAATATATTCAGAAAAAAAAATAGCAAACAAGCTTTGACAATATTTAAGAACACTTCGAAAAATCAACTTAACTAAAAAAATGTAAAATACACTATACTAAAATCATCTTAAATATTTACCATAATGTCAACTGTCGTAATGGCGTCGTAAAGCAGGGCCCGAATGACCATATTACCCTCACATACTACAGGAGTAATATATATTGGACTATATTAGTGTCTTTTGTACATTGCAATTGACTTACAGCAGGCTAAAATTGTAAGTCATTATCAGGGTATTGAATATTTTATTAAGTTACGAAATATCTTCCTAGTATCTTCTATTATGAGATCTCTCATAAAGTTAATTTATTAAGCTAAATATTTATTTAATAATTTTTTCTACACATATTATTACCTAATTATAGTTTTTAAGAAGAATGCAGTTAAAACTATAAACTCAGTCTCAATATAAAGTAAGGTATTGTTTCAAGAGCTATCAATTACTCGTGTTACAGTTTTAAAGAAGGGATGACCGTCGCCGACGCCATTGTTTAATGTTTGCTGTTTTGCCCTTTGTGTGAATGTCTTGTATTACTTTTGTACTTGTTTCTTTGTGTTTTTTTTTCATGAAATTATACTATTAGGTTAGACACTAATTATTTTCCAACATTTCCACGTAATAATAATAATATGTATTGTATTTTTGTGTCATTTGTTATGATTGTATTATTTCTGTGTTTATTTTTAAATTTCATCATTTTCAGATACCGGTTCATTCATCCCCATATTTAAATTAGCATCGTTTTATTTCTTTCGCTGGTTTTAAGAACTAACAGCTTTTTATCGTAATTCATTATTTAAACGTCAAACATAATCATTAACATAGTTTAACTTGTTTTTAAGTGAAACTAATTTTTTTTTCAAAGCTTTTAACATGTTAACGTATTAACCGCATCATTTTACATCACTATATTATATAAAACTGCTTACATGGATATAAATGCTCCATACATGGATCTTCGCTCGCTTGGCTTTGTACGTCAGCTTAGGTTTTGGGGCAGTGGTTGACGGTGAGTCCTGATTAAATAAAAACGCGGCTTCTGGGCGCCTTTGAATCTATCTACGTATTCCGCGCGAAAATATTTGGCACAATTTTAAAGGATTTTGTTACTTTAAAAATAAAGTTTAAAAATATGTGCTTAGTATTTTTGCGTATTACCACACAAACACAAATTATACAAATTATATTATTTACATAATTAAGTACATTTGGTACACAATGCACAAAATATAATAATCAAGTTAAATGGTTTTTAAAGCAAATTGTTTTTGATCGGCATTTTTTAATTTTAGCACATACGTTTTAAAATAAATAACTTATATAATATTATGTAATACACTTAAATAATTGTTTTAATAGCCGGTCATGATTGTTGTATAATTGAAAAAGCACTGTTTTGACTAAACGTTGCACCGTTAACGTTACACTCACTTTGAAAATGTTCTTCAATGTTTGTATCCGTGGCACATACGTGAAGGTGCATGTCACACGTTCACCTTGCGTTATGTGTGTGTTTGTGTGTTTTGTCTTTCTAGGTGTAAAATCATCTGCTCCCAGATCATTCTTCTGGTTCAGGAAATAGCTTCGGTGGAGAGTTCCTGAACATTGTACATAGAGAAATAACATAAAGAACAAAGACTCAATTAGTAAAATAGGAGAGCATATGAGTACCAGTGAGATTTAAACATAAGCGGTGATTTTAGTACCGGCGAGCTTGTCACGCGCCACCTGTACGTCTAATTCATGTCACATTTGCATGTGTTTTTGCATGTTCTTCGTCGCTTGGGGCTTATGGAAATTATTGCACGCAGGCTTGCCAGCTAGGTAAACGCTATTTGTTGAGGTGAAAACTTCTTTAGGCACATTAGGTACTTTTGGTATGAGGAAAAAGCACGGAACTCGCGTGACCGTCACGCTCAGATTCATATATAAAAACATGTTTACAAAGATTGTGAAACTAAGAAGTTTTCAATTCTGACGTGCAGTCCTACGACTGACAGTTTTTTTAAATACTTTTAGGAAATAATAACATGGATCAATAAGATAGAAGAAAGATATAAGTAGGTTTATTCTAAAGGTTATCTATTTCTTTAGTCTCCATACAATCTATACATAATAATTATCTAGGAAAAAATGTCCTGTCTGTAATTCTAATACTTTGTATTAAAAACAAATCTAGGGTACTAAATAAGGGATGCTGAAGCCAATTTATTTATTTATAGATTTTTTCTGTGTGTATATTAAAAAAAGATTCATGCCATAAATACTGGACGTATTTCTATGATATTCAGTTTGAAGGTAGCTAATTACCCTGGACAAAATTTTATTCATTTACGGAAGTGTAAAAAAGGAAGGTTAAGCAAAAAAAGGAAGAAACACTATTCCCGTACGGCGTTCAACATGTACGGGAATAGTGTTTGCATAACCTAAAAATAATTGGTCCGGGTCTGGATGTGTCTTTGTACAATTTAAAAACAACACTTTAAAAAAAAAAAGAAAAATACTCAGCGAGAGACAATAAAAAACCATGTCGCTTATAAAATAAATAAACAAAAGAGGAGAAATGAAACAATGCAAATTTGATAAGTTGGTCACCTTTGGAGATTGGGTAAGTGACTGCAGATAAAATAGAATAAAATCATTTTACAAAAAAATATAAAATAAAATAAAACTTAAAATAAAAGACTAATATATTTTAGAAAAGGTGCTACATTTTTTTGATATCCCTCACGATATAAAAATAGATTTCTATTTTACATAATTCCACTCCCTATTTTTGGGTAACCGCATATTATAACAATGTCAATTTTCAATCATCTAGGTATGTATCACTGAGAAGGACGCTTGTGATAGACATACAAAACTGTTCCGCTTTACGAATATTGTAATGATACATTAACGATGGTGGTAAAGCGAAGTCTACGTGAGCAAAGCTGAGGAACAATGCTAGTTTAAAATAAAACTACCGATCCCGAATAAAAAGGGTGGCAGTTACGCTTTTTTTCTCTAAATGCTTGTAAAAGAAGGTTGTGCTATGGACCATAATTGTGAATTCATGTCACAAAAAATATTAGTACCAAAGAAGTATAAATAACTTCTAACGCGAAGAATATGTATTTACTACTACTCACAACGGACCTTTCTTCCTAACGGTATAACCTCACCTTTCTGTTAGACAGTATGGAATTTTCGTGTCCCTATTATAATACATTTTTAACTATGGCGATTTTTTCTTACAGTAACTCATCTTAACTTTTTCTCACCCAATTTAATGATAACAGCGAAAGGAGCTAACTCGGAGTAAACTTGTATTGAAATTACCGTTATTAATTTATTAAATTATTTAAAGACGAGAGAAAATCTTGATATATTATTCTTTAGGTCACTCATACATTAATCCTTGAATTTCTAGATACAAATATACGAAAACTACGCGTTTTCTTCTTGAAACTATAACGGAAGACTTCTGTCGTACTCGTAATACTTCAAATTATTTTAACGTAAGAAATACTTCAATGTTTATAAAGAGTGTACCCCTTTATTTTCGTCACGTATTGCACTTGCTTAACAATAAAAAAAGAAATTGTGTATACTACTACAGTAACACTAACTTTGTGTACTTAACATTTTATTTGGAAACTAATTTTTAATAATTTTTATATCGTAACTAATACGTTGATGTATCAATGTTTGAGGATGACTACATCAAACAACGTCAAGTAGTTTTTTTTTAACATTTCTATTAATAAATAATTAGATTGTTAATAATAACACGATTTTTAGTAAGTTTTTAATTAAGTATATATATATTTATTTATCTTATTTATCTCAATATGTAGCACAGTATTTTATTGCAGTTATTAATAATTAATTGCAATATTGTTACGAAGTTAATGCATGAGTTATAATGTCAGTAGTTCTAGATTTTGATTTTGTAGTTAGAATCCGCGGGAAACGGTTGCGGTAATAAAAACTACTTTGTTAAAGGCGAATTCATTTTTCAGTTGCCAACATTCAATCTGATGGAGCTAAACTGTAGTTACTCGTTACCTCGAGGCTCCGATACATTAGGAGGGCGCACAAACGTCCTCCGCCGTGGCGTCACTCACCCGTATCGTAGGTTTCCATTTCATTTGTTTTGCTACCATCTCCGTAAAATCCGTTCCCTATAAGCATGCTTCTAACACTCAACGAATTTTACGGCTCATTAACTTTCAAACGTGCGCTTCTTATAGTCATTACATTCGAATTGTTTGCAATATGTAGCTGTATTGTGTGATGTAACTCGAAAGCCTGCACGTTTGCACATAGTGATGGGTGATTAGAACAGAGATTAATATACAGTTGTGTCGGACAGATGAAGGTGAAAGGGCGGGTGGCAGTGGTGGCAGTGGTGGCAGCGGCGGCGGGTCGGCGCGGCCATCGCTGCTGGCGCTATTCGCGGCGCTGTGCGCGCTACTGGGGGCGGCGGCGAGCTCGTAGCGCCGCGCCTCGCCGCATCTTCCACTGTGATCATGTTGTGTGCCTGTCATCGTTCGGTGTATTGTATATAGCGAACGTCTTGCTGTGATTATGAATGATTTTTATACTGTTGTGAGAACAATAATTTAATGCGAAGTCATAGTTTTTATACTTAAAATAAATAGATGATGTAAGTTCGAGTGTGATATTGACGTAAGCGACCATTTTTATATTAAAATATTCAAATTGGCTCCTGTTTTTCATTTTACCTTATTTTCATGTTACAAAAAAATAACTAAAATAGGGTGTGTTCAAAGGTAATATAATTGACAAACAACTGTATTTTAATTGGTTTATTTAACGTTTTTCTGTTTTTTCCAATAATTCCTCTTATGTTAGTAATTACAAGTTTATATGACAATATTTCTCGTTTTTATTTCATTTTCATAAACGTATTTTTTTAATAAACATCTCCACAATTCACCATAACACGGTCGTTTGACCTACTGTCTCAATCGTTCTAACTCTTAGGAAAATGCAAATAATATTAAACTTCAAAATCTGTCTACAATTATTCGAATTCGAACGCGATTAATCTTACTTCGAGTGTCGAACGTCCTACTTGGTTTAGAGGCACAGGCGTAGTATCGCTCAATTGGGAATGCTACGCTGAGCTTTTCTGGTAGTGCTACGTGCTACGCAATAAGAGCGTTACGCAGGGCGTAAGCTACAATCATGTAGCAGAATAATTTGCGAGCTACGTAGTTGTGTAGTTACTAAGGCATAGCGTGTTGTGATTTTGTATAGAGATTACGCCTGTGCTAGGTAAACCATTTACATCATTTAGAAGGCGTAACATAAGACTTAGTACACAATCACTACTCGAAAACACCTACGACACATCCTAGATCATATCAATATATTTATAGCCCGCGTGCTGTGGCAGTGTTCGCCGGCGCCGCGCGCCGAATGTATTATTGTTTAAGTTACATTATACACTACACTACCTTTCTCACTATGATTTAGGTTTTAATAGTATAATTATAGATTAAAATTATGAACGAGCGGTCCTGTGCATGAATATAATTTTGTTCGATATTTAGTCTGTGAGTCTATGCAAATATTATAAAAAAAAGGATTCTGTTTTTGTTTTTGTCTTGAAAAGTAATATATATTTATATGATCTAGAACTTTAAGGATTAATTTATAATACGGTTAGAGACGAGCTTTGCATTGCTCTAAAACATAAGTGGAACGCATCACAGCAGACACGTGAACGAAGTGTGCCAGTACAAGATACTTGAGTGAGGAAGTATTATTCAATTTAACTTAACATATGCTTCTCAACAACTATAAACTTGTATCTAGACCAACATAATGCTATCAAATTAATATAAAACATTTACATTTAAATGGAAATGACACTAATTACATGCATTATATTTATACTAATTTATGAACAGACATTAAAACAATAGTTACTTATACAAACTTGCACGTAGCTAAAAGATAAGTTATTCAGATTATATCTTTTTTGTTTAGTATACGTTGCCTTAATTGAGCTAGGATTGCTAAAACTCTTGAAATTAAACAGGCGCAATTGAAATACTAATTCCTAACTATTAACTGATCTTTTAGCTACGACCTGACTACATACAAAACATTCCATAGAATATAAATAATATTTAAACAGTAAATTAGATCTTAAGATAATTTTTTCAAACTATATAAGAGAAACTTTCGGGGTAATTGCAAACAATACACATTCTAAATGCGTTCGAACCCTAATTTTTTAAAATACCTTTATGATTTATCATAAGACATCTTTAATATTTCATCATTTCTTATAACACTAACTACTTAGAAAAGGCCATGTCATACTATTGGTTGTTACAATTAACTAAGAGAATAATTTTCTGAAAGACGAGATTTGATGGAAAAAATACCATTTATAGATGTTGTCTGCATAATGAATTTTACCTATATTGCTATGCCCTATCCACACATTGATATTTTTGTTTAAATTGTTATATATATATATATATATATATATATATATATATATATATATATATATATATATATATATATAACATTCATACAGGGTTAAGAAAACGTCACTATTTGGTTATTCGGTAACTGATTAAGGCATAAGAAAATATAAACGAACATTGCTTCATGGTGGCCTAATCCAAAAAACACTTTAACAAAAAATTCAAAAAGAAAAAAGGAATCTCATAATTAACGCCAATGGAATTCATTCCCTAAATCAAAAGGTTATGCGATGAAATATCAAAATTCCAGTAGTGACACAAACTAACAGAATATGGGTCGACGAGGATGCTCAAAATAAGTCGAAAATATACTAGATGATACTCGTAATATAAATGAGGCTGAAAATGATCGCAACATAATCTTAAAATATAAAAAATATTTAAAACATTTGTAGATTTATTTCTGTGTTTGGCGTACGTATATTTTTGATGTAAAATATATTTGAACGCTTCCTGTTGATGAATTTGACCAAAATAAACCGTAAACATATTTTATGCCTCTGTCTTTTCTAACTAACTCTTGTTGCGTTCACGCCTTAAAAAAAACTGGTGTTGTTGTTTTCTAATAATAATTTTTAACATAGTTTCATCGGGAGCTGCCCAATGTGAGGATAGAACATTTGGGAATATTAGAATTTATTCGTTGGTGATCGGTAACTAACTCGTCGTCTTCAAATAATATTTATCTTAGAAAATCGGATATCGTGAAACTTATTCGTTGTTTATAAATATTTTTCTTTATTTAAAAGTAAGTATTAACCCTCGCAGTGTACACTTTTCTCATACCCGTACCATTTACACGTAAACACGGAACGAATACTGCTCTTTCTATACACTATTTTAGTTTCGAACATCGTATCTGTTCTATATAAAATTACCATAATGTATCTATCCCGCAAATCCATGTTTAGTAAAATTGTTGCAGAGTACAAAATGTCATAACATCAACGTGATTGTGGAATTTTACTACTATTATATATACTACAGATTGTTGACAGTATAAGAAGGCTAAGTTTTGGTGTTCTCCTTACACTATATTAACAAAACGCGCCGGTAAAATTTTCTTTAAAAAATATTCATAGATAACCCCGAAAGCAACTTCTCAATGTTTTGTGCGTGTGTATGACAGTCAACTGATTTATTCCATAACCTAATGTGAAAAACTGACTTATAGTATCACTTATTAATTTCCATTTTGTAATTTACAGTGAAGAATGAACCGTATGTGCTGCCAGGAATTGAAGCCACCGTAATTTGGTACATGATATCGAAGATCATGACAACTTCTGAATAAATAATAAGTTGATAAAAATAACATTTAGCGTCAGGCGGTACGAGAGAGTTTCTATTTTCGTATTTCTTATCGTTCTTTTTTCTGTAATAGTTTACAGCTAAATACATAATTCTTTTTCGCATGCTGTTTCACATACTTAGTATATTTGTTCGTACTATTTGTGCGTTAAACATTTACACTTTATTTATATACATCAAAATATACGTATTTTATTTAAAAACATAATGTATCCACTATCACCAAACGTTGAACGAAATATGAAATGACATTTGTGTATACAAAGCCTAGGTACATATAGAGTACAGAAAAGGTTAAGTGCGGCTTTGAGACTGCTAGGTATGCTAATGAAATTATATTAGTACCTATGTTATGCTATACCTATTCATGCTCTGTTATTTATTTCTTTTATATTGGTAGCGCGATCGCGGACACTATTTATTATGTCAAGTACACATAATATTTATGTCTGGCGGCGCGGTCGCAAACAGTTTGCAACTCGAAAGACATTTAAAGATGGATAATAGAATAGTTATTTTCTATTTTATTGCCAGCTTTTGTGCCCTTAAAATATTAAATAATATCACATAAAATTATGACTGTTTAATTTTATTAAAAAGGAGTTTTTGTATGTAACAAGTTTATTAAGAATACGAAAGTGTCTAAACTTAATTTTAGAGCGAAAGTTTTTACCATTCATGGAAATATAACTTCTACATGAGGCGAGATTATAAATACATACACAAAGTGTGAGCCGAACTCCTTTTTTTTGGTCTTTTATTCATCTACTCTAGTATAGTTAGAACAGTGGACAAGAGTGAAGAGTGATTAAGAGTGAGAGTAGAAATATCCACAAAGAAGGAATTCACGGTCAATGTGTAAGTTTTAACGAGTGCTCGAAATTGTTCCAATTATGTTCTAATAATTCATTCTCTAACGCTAATTGTTTGACAATTTATACATATACATGTAGATATCGCGAAAACCGCCATGTTTCTAAGAGGGCAATAATGTCCCTATTGAATCTATTTGTTAAAACGTTCACCAAACAGCAATTCATCTAATAATACCGTCATATTTTGACGATATTTTATAAATTAAAATCTTTCACTTTGCATGTACTTTAATCAAAAATTATTAAGAAGGTAGAAAAATATAATTAAAAAAAAACCATACTTTACTATAATATCCTACTCTTTTAGTTGCGCAAGTGTTTAAATACCAAGTAAACTGCTTCTAAATTATATTCCTATATTCTTATTAATACATAGATTATTATTTAGAAATAAAATATTCGTTGATGAGGACAGATATTTTTAAACTGTGTACGACTGACGAAATGTAATCGAATCTATTTTTACATTAGTAATATAATGCTTTTATTAATTTAACTTTTATTCGTGCAATTGTAAATAATTTGGTGTTAATCTTTTAGAAATTTAAAAAATTTGAAAAATGGACATGGTTTAATGTAAAGAAATTACAGCCATTTTTGTTAAATTGAAAATTATGACTTGTTTGTACTAAAATGAAACTAAGCTGATATTGCGTAGGTATTGAGTACCTAGCATGCGAGGCTTTCACTTCGTGGTAAGTGAAGGCACTAGGTATCACTTTTAGAGTGAATTTTCAATCGATTGAAACAATACGACCCACCGTTTAGCTCCACGCGCCATATACCGCGTGTAAAATACCAAGCTTGTATGTCACAGAAAATACTTCTTACTGAAATATTTTACTATGCTGAAATAGCTATTGCTCATTTTAATTGAAAAAGCAAACAGATTGATACACATTTGCGCACAAAATTTTGGTATTGGTAGTAAAATTATATTATCCTACATCAAACAGACCGAAAAACAGATTAGGTTATAATATGAAAGGAGTGGAACAAATAAACACTTAGAGAGACACAAGTTAATAGACATATAGCACCTTCGGTGACTCGAATTTAGGTACGGGAGTGGAAACAGCAAACCGCATTTTGATATATTTACACAATAAAAACGTAAAAAATAACTCACTTATTTATTATCTTTATTTGATTACAACAACTACATCCCCGCTCGAGGACAACATTTTCAACAAATGTTCATTCAATAAAGTCCTAATAACCATTCATTTATAATTTGTTTTAGATCACACAATTATTAACGTCACCACTATATTTTAATACATTTCCAAAACAAGACGAATTAACAAAGACCTTTGTACCTACCATATGAGAACGACTGCACTCATTTTGAAGGTTGCATAGTCAGTATATACTCAATATAATATACAAGTACAATAATAAATATTCAAAATCAATTCATATAAAAATTATCGTACTAACACAAATATAACGTGGTCCACGTTACATTTGCATTAGTCATGCTCAATGATAATTCATCAGACGGATAATAACGCACATAATTTTAATTATATGCATAAGTCATACTTTTATTCTCATAAAACAACAACTACTTTTAAGTAATCCTAATATAAATGTAGTCAATATTACGGGTATGGTATCAATAATTTAGGCGCTCGCAGGCGGCTAGATATTGTGACAAGACGAATCTTTTCAGATTACCGGGAATAAATATACAATACAAGATATCCAATCAGTTTTGCTCCATATTGGCATTATCATCAGCGCTGCCTTGGCGTCCTTGTCACAAAGTCTCCGCATGTTTAATTATGTAACATTATAAAAATAATTCTCTAAAAATCAATATCAGTTATTTCATATTCATTTTGTGTTGAAAAAAGAGACTTCCGTGTTAAACTGCTGTTCCCAAAAACTAATATTAGAGCTACTCAATCTCTGTATGTAAACCAATGCAGAAATCTTTTTCTTCGTCACGTATTATTAATGTGCTTTATAACCCAAACTGTTGATGTCGGTCAAGTTAAGCGTATCTTCACCACTGTTACATAAGACGCTAACAATTGTTTCACACGTAAAAAAATATCAACGTACAAACTACTATAAAAGGGCATGTTTTGTGGCTGCTGTACACCCCTCAATGACACGCGTTCCGTGCGGTATAAAGTATTGCTATTTTTATTTAAACTATGTTTAGCAAAAATAACAAAAAACAGGTAATACAGCACACACAAACAGTGTACGATTCAACTGTAAAATACTATTTTAAATATACAATCATCTTCACTTAACGCAAATATTGTGTTCATTCGATAAATACTTGTGCCAAATTATTAATATATATGTATATACTAGAGCGGAACTTTGGTTTGTAACGCTCACAAGACGAAACCCATGACCAATCATTTAAAAAAATTTGGTGTTTCTCTGTTTGAGGGTATTGAACAATCATGCACATACGAGTACATAAACTTACAGTCTAAGGCAGCACCGGCGCGCTCACGGGATTGCTGCGAGGCGCGGGTCTCATCGAACAATACGTCTCGCTATTTATTATCATAAGTAATGCACTAATAGAAGTTCGGATCGTGGTCCGGCGACCGCGAGACTTGGGAGTGCGACGCACGATAACGTAAAACTATAACCTCGAGTCGCGCACATTCACTAGTGTGAGCGCCGTCCAACGGGTCCGTGACGGCACGAGGATTGTTACAAGAAGAGTGGCTACCAGTAACACGGCACATGGTATTGTAGTGGTGGCCGCGCCCACTTGGTAAGGTACCGAGCAACTGGGCGCCCGGTCTTCCACCGGTGCACATTGCTCGGCTTGCGGGCGCGAAGGTTCAGTCAGCCGTGACTCACACCGGTAGCACAGCCGACCTTCACAGTACCAGTAGCAGCACTCGTCTGACCCGTAGTTAGATTTGTTCGCCTGCGCACCGGTCTCCGGTATGCGTGCGTCTAGAACATTGAACACCATTATAAAAAATTTGCGTAATTAAGCTTCAGATTACATAGGGATTGACTATATTGATATTATATAAAAATATATATTGGATTTATCGGTAATAGGCTGTTAGCTTAATTAATTTTATTTAAATATCACAAGAATACTTATTGAAAGCCATTTAATTTTTACCGCTGGTTCGTAAAAAAAACCTTTGTCCTGGGAAAAAACCCAACGGGACTTTTTTAAACATTGATTTGCATGTATTTACATGGTAGAGCCATGCTGCAGCTATATTAATAGTATAGTTGTAGCACAAATGGGTCGGCTCAACCGGGGAAGGACCACGCTCTCACAGAATACCAGCGTCAAATAGCAGCTTAATGCTGCTGTGTTTCGTATGGTGAGTGTAGATAACCGGAGACCCGTTTTACTGGAAAAGAGGCATTCTATCTTAGTCATCAAGGCTGACAACGAGATAGATGTAGATGTCTATGGACCGCAGCAACCACTTACCATCAGGTGGACTGTGTGCTCGTTTGTCACCCTAATTCTATAAAATATATATATATATATATATATATATATATATATATATATATATATATATATATTTTTTAATAGATAGGTTCTGCATATTTTCTGCCACATCGGTGTAAAAGCGTGTACATTATCTCATGAAGAAATGGTAATGGTAATAATGATATTACTGGTTGTTGTGCTTGTTCTTAGTATTTACAGAATGTCAATCACTTTTTCTGCCGACTTCCAAAAAGGAGACGGTACTCAATTCGACGCGTATGTTTTTTTTTATGTGTGTTACCTCATAACTTTTTACTGGGTGGACCGATTTCGATGATTCTTTTTTTATATGAAAGCTGATACTTTTTGTGAGGTACCATATGAATTTACCAAGGTCAGACCAATAGTTTTTGAGTTATTCGATTTATTCTTAATAACTTATATTAAAGTCGGCTGTACAAAATTTTTAATTTTTAATTATTTAAGAAAACTATTTTTTATGGACGTACATTAATTTTTATATAAATAATCCTAAGTTATGTATCCTTTGGGCTTAGGTTATAAGTTGCTCTTATGGCTCTCTTCTGCAATATAAAGAAAGTTTCAATGTCAGTTGCATTACCCCATAGCAAGGCGTTCCATAAAATATTCTGCTATGGAAATAACTAAAATGAACTACATAATCCAGCTGTATCAATACATGTAAGTTTCATCTTTTTTACAGCATATGCTGCATAATTAAGTTTAAAAGCTAGTTGCAATATATTTGGGCTCTACTGAAGCTTCGAGTCCACTGTAGTTTCGAGAAAGGCAGTGTATTCAACATGCATTCAGCATGAATTTAAAAGTACACTGGTATTATTAACCTATTTGACATTTGGTATTGTGAATTAAATACATTTCGTTGTATTACCATTCTAAAGCAAATTGTTGACGATAAACCAGCGTACTAATTTTGATGTAGCATTATTCACTTCGTCATATTTTAACAATCGCCGTTTAAATTGACGAAGTATCATCAGCAAATAAAATTATATCATAGTTATTTCCTAACAGCTAAGGTAAGTCATGAGTATAAACTAAGAACAGCAAGGAGTCAAAAATTAAGCCTTGAGCAATACCCATAGATACTACTGACTCGGAAGAGCTCCCATTAGGAACTAAGAAGAACTTTCATTGATAACAAATGTTTGCGTTCTTATATTTAAATATGGTATAATAATAAGTTTACACGCTATGTTTTGACACCATAATGAAGTAACTTTATGATAAATGTTTCACGGTGAAAACAGTCGAAAGCCTTGGAAAAGTCACAAGGTAGACTGGATTAACACAGATTTTTCACAGCAGGAAATGAAGATGAAAGTGTTTCTGTTCCTTTATGTATAAATGGGAGAGGTAGCAGCAATAAATTTACCAGGTTGATCTTCAGAGATTTTACGTTCCCATTTGCTACCAATCAATATATATTTTATAATTATAATTTTTATACAATAAAAAAAAAATTGGTAGTTGACGCGAAGCAACATTTAAAAATGATTCGAATGTTGCTTTGAACAAAATAAATATTAAAATACTGAACATAGGCTTCCACCGCGTATTATTTATTAGTTAAATTCTTAACTCTGAAACAATATTAACATCAATATATAATTACAATAAAGGTAACTTATATATTAGAAACATTGGACAGTATGATTTTGCTTTTACAGATAAATGCACACATTAATTTCTCAGATAAATATATTGTACTATTTACGTTGTAAAGTATTTTTTTCATAAAAATGCCTATCAAAATCCATTGCTGAATATAAGCCTCCCCTTGCCTAACAGGAGCGATTTTGCTTTTGAAACTACTCCGTTTTATTAGAATACTTGTTGTCAATAAAACTGTAAAAATTTTCATAAACCGTAGTTAAAGTCCAAGACTATCAATAAACTACGTTTTGTTATAAGAAAGTCCAAGTTTAAATATTTCAAAAGAGGCACGGAAGATGTCAATATCAATAATTGATGACAAACGATTATTACGCTAGTAATATATAAGTCAATGAGTTTGACATAATTCGACTTATCAAAGTACCACAAACCACATTCTACACAAACGCCACACCATAAATGGTTGATCCTGAACCACCTCCAAAGACTCGCATCCAAAGACTGTCAGCGAGGTTTAGCAATTATACTAGTCATGCCTTACTTGCAACTACAGATGCTTTACAATATCATTGATAGAAAAGTAAACGTTTTTTACGTTTAATGTAACATTTTAATTACTGTAATAAAAAACAATCTGGAGCCGCCCCGCAATAGTTCCATGATCGGTTAACAAAAACAAAAGCAAGAGTCATAAAGAATACAAAAGCAACAATTGGCTACAGTGATGTGTGAAAAGAAAAATAAAAACGTCTACATTCTCAGCAGAAGGCGCTATTTGTTTCGAGTTCTTGTTTTGAACCCCGGCCAAGCGACGGTGGCTGCTAATCGTGCCTAATTCAAAACCTCTCCCGCTGTCTGAATGAGTGTACTTCACTGCAATCGCTACCTTTTGTTACGTACGAAAATATCTAGCATTTTTTTATATTTCAGACCGCAAGCCTTTCACGCTTTACCATTTAAATGAAAACGTCGAGTGTCTTACAAACATTGTTTAAAATGAGAGGGGTAAAATTAATTAACATTAATATAACACTAAAAATATGTTTGGACCTAGAGTGTTCAATCATAATTAATTAATTAATGAGAAAATAAATACGTAAAGATCATTCCAATTTTCATTATGAATAAATCATTGTATTATATATTTTCATTATATATAATATATATTGTATGAAATATGGAGATCTCTCTCTCTCTCTCTCTCTCTCTTTGATTGCCGGGCGGTGGCGTGGGAAAATCCGCTTGGGTGTAACTTTCGACAGATGGCATTGTAACCATCTCGTTAACGGTAGACATAAAATACCCAGTTGGACCGGCTCCACCGGGAAAGGACCACGCTCTCACAGAGTACCAGCGTAAATTTTGCAGATTAACGCTGCTGTGTTTCTTAAGGCAAGTGTAAAGAACCGGTAAACTGGAAACGCGGCATTCCATCTTAGTCCTCATCCCAGGTAATATTGTAAGCAGCAAAGTGACTACGCATCTACATTTTGATTCGTAATCGAGGATAGATGTAGACGTCTATGGGCTATAGCAACCACTTTCCATCAGACACCTTTATCCTATAAAAACATCGGCGGCGCAGTAGAGTCAAAGGTGTGAAACTAAACTAAACGAAATGCTTGGTACTACGACCACTAATTCGCTTGTCAAACGTGGCGATTAAGACAAATGCTCCCTAAAACGAGAGAGGCCTATGTACAAAAATGTACTTTTACAAGCTAGAAGAAATATTTTGAATATTAAAATAATAAAATTAGTGAAGATTATAGGTGCTACGACCACTTTTCTGCCTAGGAGTCCGTCTGGGTAGGTAACATCTTACCTATTTATGCTGGCAAATAGCACCTGTGCAATGGCTGTGTTCCTGTCCGAAGTGTATAGACAGCCAGTTTAATTACGGGTCAAAAGGCATTCCATCTTAGTCCCCACAGATGACAACGCATCTTTAGCTTTCTTTGTTTGAAGTTGCCTGCAAGTGTTCATGGACTACAGCCACTGGCCACTTACCATCAAGTGGACTGCAAGTTGTCACTTCAGTTTTATATAAAAAAACGTGTGTGTGTACGTATGTACGCACGTAGGAAGTTATACTTCTTTAGTGTAACAAAACAAAAAAACTTGAGAGACAATTATTCACTGAAGTTGTCGTTTTTAGGTGACAGTGTACGCGCGCATCGTAACAACTTGATGGTTTCATTTTTAGGTGTCAGTGTGCGTGCGCATATACAATGATTTTTTGAAATTTTTAAAAAAGCACTATAAAACATTTTCAACTAATAACTCATATTCATGAATGGAATGGAGTTTCTAGAGAAGTATAAAGCACCACTTGAGTACATAAATAATTATTTTAATAATACCGTGTAAGGTCGGTGTAAGAAAATCCATCACCCCCAAGCCTTTCCGTGAGTGTCGTAATAGGCTGTATGATGATGATGATGATGACAAAGTTGAGGACTGGGAAATGTATTCAACGAAAAAATTTAAGGCCCCTTTTCTCAAATTTTTTACTTGGTAGAGCCATGCTGCAGCTATATTAATAGTATAGTTGTAGCACGAATGGGTCGGCTCGACCGCGGAAGGACTACGATCTCACAGAACACCACGGTAAAATATCAGCTTAACGCTGCTGTGTATTGTATGGTGATTGTAGAGAACCGGAGACCTATTCTATTGTAAACGAGGCATTCCATCTTATTTCTCAAGGGTGACAACGCATCTGCATTTTCATTCGCAAACGAGGAAAGATGTAGATGTCTATGGGCAGCAGCAACCACTTACTATCAGGTGTACTGTGTGCTCATTTGTCGCCCTTATTCTATAAAAAGTTATAACGTTAAATTTTGCATTAAGTATAACCGAGATGTATTGTCACCATCACCATTACTTCTAACCAGTGCATAGCTAGACCTTAGCCTCTCCTGTAATTGTTGAGAGCTACTAGCTACTCTACCACTCGTTCCCATCTAGATTTTTTTACGTCTGACGTATTTAAGATGGCTATACTGCCTGGTTGCGATATGTGGTGTAATATTGTAAATATCTTGTACTAGAAGTGACCTGCTGTGAGGTCCCTCATTCGAGCTGTGAGTTTTGGGTTTGCAGGCAGCTGCTGGTGCTGCGTATTCCTCGCTCTCGACACGCTTTTGCGAGCTCCTGATTCTCGCCACCATATTGTCATATAAATGGATTAGTCGACACAGGTCTCTACGGATTCTCTCCTAGTGACAATATCTAGTGCCCTACAGAGAGAAATGATTCTATAGAATACAGGTGACCAACAACATTCCACCTGATGGTAAGTGGATGCTATGGCCCACAAACATCTACATTTGCCCTTGATTTAGAATCAAGGTTCAATCCAATCAAAGGTTGTTACATCTGAGGACTAATTTAGAATGCCTCGTTTCCAGTAAAAAGCTTCTACCACGTATAAACTTTTTCATTATCTTTTGTAAAGAAATTTACATATTTAAACTTAATTCTTTAAATACATAACATATTATATGGACGAGAAGCTGGATACACCATCACCAATGGGTTTCAGTGCATAAACGCAAATACTCCTCATCTCCCCTTTAAAGGAACGAATAAATGTGATACCTTTTCTCCAAATACTAACTTCACCTGCGTGCCGTGCACAAATCTGATTGACGAACACTAACGACTGACTATGGGCACAAAATTCAATTGAAAGTCCAGAATTATATATTATATCCAAATCTTCTAAATACATATATATATATATATATATATATATCTATATCTATATATATATATATATATATATATATATATATATATATATATATATATGTTTAAATGGTTTTCAATATGTTAGAGTATTTCAATGAAAAGAGTACGAAAAGGTAAAGTAATTTATCTAACAGCTTTCTAAGTAATACGTTTTTACAGGACTTGTTAAAGAATGAAGAGATTTAGAACGAAGAGTCAATGGAGGCAAAGAGTTCCTCAAACGCACAGCAATGACACTAAAAGATTTCTTGAAAAAAGAGGAACGGTGCAAAGGAGTAGAGAGAGTAAGATTGACAGAGGATCGAAAGAACCGATTATGAGTAAAGAAAATATACTGGTAACGGTATTTTTAAATAATGTTAATGTTAATTGTAAAATTAACTGTGTAGTGGCGTTTTAAGAATATCCACTAGCCCATATCGTCCTGTGGGTGTCGTAAGAGGCGACAGAGGGAAACTGAAACGAGATATTCAATTCAATTCAATTGAATTCAGTTTATTTATCTATTCACAACTTGCTGCCTGGTTAAAAATATCGATGTACATAGTAAGGACCTAGTGTTGTGAGCGACTGGTGCCTATTATAGGTTTTATATCGTCTTCCTGATAACATGTCAACATTATCAGAAACTGTGGTTGTCAGTCCGACTACCAAGCTGGCAACTATGACAAAAAAAATCACCACAATGAGGCACTCAACGGGGGAGGCCCGTGTTCAGCAATGGACTTTTATAGACTGTAATCGATAGACGGAATTATAAAATAGTTTTAAAAGTTAAAGTTACAGACTATATACGTCCCACTGCTGGGCACAGACCTCTCATTTCTGAGAGGGTTTTAGGGCAAGGAAATGTCGACCGCGCTGCCCCAATGCGTATTGGTGAACTTTACATGCCTACGAATTTTTTTTCTTCTTTCTCGGACATGCAGAATTCCTCACGATGTTTTCCTTCACCGCCGAGCTCGTGGTAAATTAGCACGAGCTCAGAGAGCCGTGGTAGCTCAGATGGTTAGCGCTCGCTGTAAGTTTCACAGTACACGACCAACTCGGGTTCCGTCCCCGCCGGCACTAATGAAATTATAAAATAGTTTTACTTGATTGAAAATACTAACCGAGGCATAGAAACGTGGGCTCGCCAGCGTACTGTGTGGGGTAGGCGGGCGCGCGGTCCGCCGGCAGGAAGTAAGGGCAGTGTTGCTCGACAAGCTGGCACACGGACAGGCAGGGCTTGAGGCGGACGAGGGGCCGACCCGGTCCGGCGGCTGCGGCGCGCACCCAGCGACCCACCACTCCGCCGCCGCGCCGCCGGTCCAGGTGCCCCACGCGCTCCAGGTGCCGGGCGTGCCAGCGCGCCGCGTGCTCCGCCGGCGTCCGACGCGACCTCCCGCCCTCCTCCGCTCCCTCTTCCGTCCCCTCCTCCACCCAAAGCGGCACCATCGTGCTACACGCCCAACGTCGGTATGTCTCCTGTAAGCATTGACATGTGTGACGTTAACAAAATATTTATTTTAATTTTATACGGTTACGTTTGAGATTTAAAAGTGATCCCACACTGCTAATCTGAGAATTTGATAATGGTATAATGGTAAATCGAATGGCTTGTAAGTTCTCATTTTTTGGTTTAATCTTATTACCATTAGCAAAGCAAGAATAACTAGAACATAACCCAAAGAAATGATAAAAGTCAATTTTGTTCCAAAAATATATGCAGTATTACTAATTGACCTTATTCTAAGAATTAAGAACCTTTGGAATATAGTCAACAAGCGCAGTACTTGATGTTTTATGTAAATACTAGCAACCCGCTCTGGCTTCGCCTGGGTAGGTTCTATTATTGTAGCGTTATTTAGATTTAAGATAATCAATGACTATTTATTTTATCATTTTTTTTAAATGTCCAAGTTATTCGGATAAAATCAGTATCAATTAAATCTGTTCTTGAAGTTTCATTACAAACAGACAAGACAAGAAGACAGACAGACAAAAATTTTTAAAATGGTTACACATGTGTTATTGGCATGCATATAATCTTTCAAAATAACACAGTTATTTCGATATTACAGACAGACAATTTTATATGCATAAATAATCTATTATTAAACAAATAAATTAACAATTATGATTTGCTTTTTACACGCTTTCTATTAGCTTAATCTATATGTATATGTGTATGTTAGAATGTTACGGAATTTTGTAATTCAGTTTTCACCCACTTCCGGACGTCTGTGTAATCTGAAATTTGCAGACATTTTCCAAATCGATGACTTATTTTTCGATGATGATATGATTAGATAACGATTGTTTTAGTAATCTCACAAGGATCATCACAATTCACAATTGTTGCACGGAGGTTTTGGCTCGACTGGGGAAATACCACGGTCTCACAGAATACAAGAATAAAATAGCCACGCAATGCTGCTGTGTTTCGTATGGTGAGTGTAGAGAACCGGAGAACCTTTTACTCGATTCCTCAGGGGTGACAACGTATCTGCATTTTGATTCTTAATCGAAGATAGATGTAGATGCTAAGGGCCACAGCATCCAGTTATCATCAGGTAGGTTGTGTGCTCGTTTGTTACCCTTATTCTATTAAAAAAAGTTTGCACTCTAATATTATTGAAATTTTATAATCGTATAACTTAAAAAAGTTGTACATTGTTATGATTTTCCTCAAACCACACCTTCAATTATTTACTGATACTTGGGTCTCTTAATATAAAATGTTACATAACGTTGTAACTTAATTTTGTATTATTATAAAATAGATATATTTTTTTTATAGGATAAGGACTCTTTGCCAATAAAAAGGGTTTCCGGTTCTCTACACTCACCATACGAAACACAGTAGCGTTAAGCTGCTATTTTACGCTGGTCTTCTGTGAGAGCGTGGTTTTTCCCCGGTCGAGCCGACCCATTCGTGCTACAAATATACCACTAATATAGCTGCAGCATGGCTCTACCGCGTATAATAAGATACTTGAAAAGTAAATAAAGCTCAGGCAATATCACGTTCATATGTTACGTAGATAAAATTTCGGCAAAGATCTATAGCGTTATAAGGAAATAGTAAGATTTACGAGGTGTACGGACATAACAAGGCAGCAGAGCACCTTGCGGTGGTAACATCTGGTACCGGCGCCCGACCCTTCTCACTTTTATCGTTATACGGCATTTTCCGCTGTTGTTCAGTCGGCTTGCTGAGGCAGTGATTAATTAGTTATCCAGCGACAGCTGCAGAGCACCGCACCGGATCTGTATCGCATGCAACAGACGCCGCCAATTTTTATTGCGACGTTGCTAAATTAAAATTTTCTCAAAGCAGCTGCTTAATCCGTTCTTCTTTTTTAATTACTGCTATGCAAAATTTTATCTCACGAAAATGATATGATATGCCAGCAAAAATACAAATATATGGACTTGTCTGAAACTCCTCACATATTTGATACTACTCTGATTAAATATTGTAAAACAAAAAAGACTGTTTATAAAGCAGTCAAATAGCTAAACGTGGTATTTGACATAGTTCGTCAATGCAATAAATTAACTTGAATTTAGTAAGATAAAAAAAGTTACAGCCTATATTCTTCCCACTGCTGGGCACAGACCTACTTTTATTTCTGAGAGGGTTTTAGGGTAAAGTATTACCCGCGGTGCTGACCCTATATGCGCGGGCGGGCTTCAAATGTCTTCGAAATATTTATTTTAATTTCTTATACATACAGGACCTGCAGGACATGCAGGACATGCCTGTTTTTATATCTTTGTAGTTTATAAAGTAGAAAAGATAACGCCGCGTTGCTGCGTACTTCAAAAGTATCCTTGAAATGGATTCAATAACGGCAGGTATCGAAATAGGGTTGTCCGCGTGCTTTAAATTAAGGTAAGTGTCAATTATCCTAAATTGATAATGCCTATTTTTGTTAAACAACTGGATATTGAAAATCATCATCAGTATGTAAAAAGTCGCAAGTCGTTTCAGAAGTTATTAGACGTTGCTATTTGTGTGTTGGATCTCTCTTTGTTTTAGATAGTTTACTGTCAGGTACCTTTCAGAAATTCTTTAAATGAACCATACGATATCCACCAATTGTAATGGGGCTATAAGTTTAGCTTACTGCCATACTCCAAATATAAAGAAATACATATCATGATGTTTTTTAATTTATTGTATCACCATCTGTAAAAAAACTAAAAAAGTACTTTGTGGTAGTACCACGTTAGATGGCGCTGATTATTAATTATGAATGGAGCATAACGTGATGAAAAAATGTCGGATAATCTCTCAAGTTCCGACATTGTTATGGGCCAACTTAGTCAGATCTATGGTCTAGCCAAGGTCAATAATATATTTTTTGCAGAACAATTCTTCTTTAAATGTTATTTATAAGAATTCGCGAGCCATTACAAAGTTGTACTTTTATGGCGGCTCTTCACGTTGGCCAACATAGTGGCAAATGTGTTGGCCAATATCAATGGTCATCGTGTAGAGCGGGTGTTTGTGCTTTCGTTGGTATGTATTGGAACGATGGCCCACAAGTTGGCGCGACATCCGTGTAGTGTCGGTTTCTTACAAAAGCTCAAAGGGTTGTGGCAGAGTATTGGCCGCCACGTCCACACGTTGGGCGCATTTTAGTTTGCTACGAGCTCCCAGGCTGATCGCACCAGGAGATATATTCCTGATTTAAATTTTATATTTACGTATCGTAGCTAGTGTCTACAAAATGGCAGTAATAATGACCAATGAAGAAACTTTTCGCATTATAGAGCTCTACCAAGCCGAAAATTGTTTGTGAAACAGAAGAAATATTTTTTTTCCATTTCTTTTTGATCACCCTTTTCTTATACACATTCACATAGTAGCGGTATGCTGTAAATAAAACCGCAGCAGCCGTTAGCGCCTCAATATCTATTTTAATAAATTCGTCCGTACATAGGCCTGAACCGAAGCAAACTGAACGACCTTCCAACGTGTGGACGCCATCACAAACTCTTGGCTAATATCTTCTTTAAAATTATCACATTCGCCACTATGTTAGCCAACGTGAAGAGCCGCCTTTAGCTAGTAATAATGTTTATAGGTATGTATTATGTAGGCAGGAAATCTTGAGATGAATTAGTCCTGGTGGAGACAACGGGCCGCAAGGCGTGTGGTTACGCACATGAGTAAATAAACGGAACAGAGGCAAAGCTTCCTAAGAACGTGCAAAATTACTACAAGTAGGGTTGTCACAATAGGTGAAGACAAATTAAACAAGATAATACTTACCTATCCTATTAATGCATTGTCACTGAAGTTACGGATACAAAATTTCAACTCAATCAGACATCGGAAAGTGATACTAATCTTATTTGCAATATGTGAACCTAACACACATACCTACTACATACCAACCCACCCACATACCTACAAATGTTTAGTAAAAGCTTGTAATATCCATAAAAAGGTAAAAACACACCGTGTAGTACCTTGTTCTTATTAAAACAAGGATCACACAATAAAATAAAGGTACTTACTTGAAAAGTAATAATCAAATAGTTACTTACCTCGTACTTCTTGGGATAGTTAAAGTACGGTATATTTTTATTTTTTCTAGGATTATTCATACACACTGTACAATAAACAACCATTAATAATAATACTACATTTTACATTAAAATATTCAAACTTGCAACTAACTAAACAAACAACGTGCGTCGCACTGACCCTGAGATTGTTGTCTACTGGCTGTGCTAGCATAACCGGTTTTTTCCAGTCTCGCCGCGTACGCGACAAGCGGCCAGTGGTCACGCACACATGCCCCTTGTGATTGTAGTAGTGCAACCGATTCGAGCGGTTGTATGAAGCTTTATCTCTGTTCCGTTTATTTACTAATGTGGCGTAACTCTGCTTTGCCAAGTGACGACGTTTTGCAATTAAATACCTCCCTCCTCCGCTCCCCTTTATCCTCAACATTGAGGCGCGTAACGAACATCGTGCCTACTAATATCGTACCTCGACGTTTATGTGTTGTACTTTGCAATTTATTTAAAACAATGTCAGTACCTTGGTTTCTTCCCGTTCGAAAAAAATCTAAATGCTTTAAATTTTTTAAAAGTTTATTACATAGCGATTGATTAGTTTAAGTTTCCCTCTTACCTATTTCTGAAGAGTAAAGCTAGTCCGTATAATTACAAGGTGTCAGGTGTGAGGTTCTTAAGTCAGAATACCGCTGAAGTGACAAAAGATCTATAGCCTTCTTTGTTTGAATTTGGCTGCAGCCACTTATGGACTATAAGCTTGTTTATCACTTCAGTATTGTAAAAAAGCGGGAGAACATATCTTGTCCGGATACCAGGTAATTAAATACGGAGCCATATCATGACGAGGTTGTGCAACCGATGCTCATCCCTCACCGACTACAGTTCGGCCTTTCAAGAGAGGATTTCATGTCCTTGCAAATGCACTTGCCCCCATCGATTGTCTTAAT